ATTAAAAATTGTTATAAAGAAATCGATTTTATTAAATGTGGTCGTACCTTTTAGGTTCGATACCTGCATTAATTTATGCGTACCTTTTAGGGTCATTTTTCAATCCGTCCGTCGAGCATACCTATCAAATTTTATATGTGAGTCCTCCCCCCAGGTTTCTTGCTGGACTATTCATACAGCGCAACGCAGTTCACCCCTTCTAGGATACCTGTTCAGAGAAGGCTTAAGTCAGTGCTCACCTGTAACACTAGTTCCACTTGAGGCCACTTTCCCAAGGGAACTGTTCACTTGGCACCAATACCTCCCTTCGTCATCCGGGACAATCGAACGTAGCATCAGTGTTGACACTCCTCTGTACGACATGACGTTGTGACGTATCACCAGATCATCATTTTTGTACCACGTGATAACTGGTCGAGGAAGCTCAAATGATTTGCACGTAATGTTCAGGTCCAGACCCTCGCTTGTATTGATGAGGCGCGGTGGCTGTTCCGCCAAACTTGGAGGCTTTGGAACTAGAGCAATGAATTATGATCGAGTACATCATTAATAATGCTACTGGCCATTTTCAGAATGGAAAAGGGACTGGGACTTTTAAATTTCGCACTTGTCGTAAACCTCTTCACATGAAAGATCACGCTATTTTAAGTTTTAATTTCAAATTTGATCCTCTTTAATTGAATATTCATCAAGAAACAATCAATTAACCTTTGATAAAATATATGAATGATTTACGATCTGTTTAGCGAGAAAAGAGCGAAAATCGCATGACATTACCCAAGATGTACCCGATATAATGATTTTTGCCTATGACTATATACCTGTGATGTTGATATCCGAGAATGTTTTTGAGCATGTGCCGACTTTATTGAATACTAGGCATGTAATCCTGAATTTAGAATCAGAAAAAAAATCACGTGGATAAACAACACTTTATTATACGATTCGATAACACCAACAGTTGGTAAAGCGCATCAGAACCTGGTGGATATTTTTCGCTATATAAATACTATTTATTATTATTATTATTATTATTATTAAATAAAAGGACATACCACGAGTAGAGGTAAATAAATAAATAAACAAATAAATAAATAAATAAATACATACAAACATACATACATACATACAGGCTGTACATACATACATACATACATACATACATACATACAGCCCTTTGCAAAAATTATGAGAATTGTCTAAATATCTAAATATCATAATATCCATATCCATATATTGTCCGGAACATGCGGGTTTGCTAGAATAATTCATTGTTGACATCGAGAAAATGTTCAGAACTACGGATATGTAAGTCGCCAAAAACAAAACTTAACTACAAAGACAAGGGACTAAGGCATCGTGTGGGATTACCCATCATGCACTTGATATTATGATATTTAAATATTTCAACAATTCTCATAATTTTTGCAAAAGGCTGTACATAAATCAATCAATCAATCAATCAATCAATCAATCAACCAATCAATCAATCAATCAATCAATAAATAAATAAATAAATAAATTTGTTAAAGAGAGGCATGGTGTTAGTACTGTTGCTAAGATAGACCGCAAACACTAAGACCATGAAAAGTTTAATAATTATTGTAAGTAAAAAAATTCCTGCAAGGCAAAATTTTGAATAATCTACACTATAAAGCTTTTGAAAATTACAAGCTCACGCCTGAAGTTCAAAAAAAAAAATATTCTTGCACGGACAAAATCTTCCAACCCCCCTCAGAATTCTAATGGATCGCCCCTAAGAATAGTATTGTGTTGGAAGATGACGTCCCCCARGGAGTAATACGACCCTGTAAAGTGCACTATATTGAAGTATTTAGCACTATTTGTTGAGTACTTTTCATGCTTTAGTGTTTGCTTTCTCTTGCCTTACACACTTG